GGTGGTCAAGAAGTATAATTCTACTATGTGCTTGAAAGGGGGAAGAGTCAGAAATTTTTAGTGATCATTATCAATGGCTACGAGAGTCTTAGTTAAAAAAAAAAAAAAATCTGTTGGTAGTAGCTCCAGTTCATTCAAGGCTCTCCTCAATATGGACATAATCAGACTAGCCATTAGCACCTACAAGACTCATCTCCAAACATAATCTGTCCTCCAGCACACAATGATTTGTTCCAGCAGTTCTGTTTTACCCGGAATGTTCTGTCTCCTACTTTCTGCTTATTGAGATGGTATTCATCCCTCAGCTGCCATCTTCTCTATGGAGAATTCTCTAATTGCTTCCTCCTTGACATTCTCATAATACTTTGTTTTTTATTTAATTTTTAGAATCTATCATGGCATACAATATATTATTATGGGGAAACATTAGTTAGGTTCACTAGAGTTCCAGTTCCTGGGGAGAGCTACCTTGCCTTTTTCATTTGTATATCTTCCAGACCTAGATTGTTGTTAGTTGCCACTGATTGATTCTAACTCATGGAGACCCCATGCATGCAGAGTAGAACTACTCCATAGGGTTTTCAAATCTGTGACCTTTCAGAAGCATATTGCTAGGCCCGTTTTCCAAGGCACCTCTGGGTGGGTTCAAACCACCAACCTTTTGGCTATGTAGTTGAACACTTAACGATCTGCACCACCCAGGGACTCCTAGACCCGGACTACTATGCTATAAAACATGTGCAGTCAATAAAAGTTTGTCATAAAAAGGGGGGAAGGTGGCTCTGCAAAAAATTAAAATGATTGTAGCTAATTACAATGCTACAAAATTAAGTTCATAGGAGGAGTTTAGAATAATATGACTTTACTTTTAACATTAGGCATTAAACATGGCTTCTAACATTAGTTCCTCTACATAGAGTGCTACCACTGCTGACTCATGGACCAAGACCATGGACTTTTGGTCTGGATTTGAACATCAAGGCTGAATAATCATTATTCTCACCAAATATTCAATTCATCTAATTACATTTTATCTTGATAAAGTTCATTGGATTCACTTCCATATAGAAATGTTTACTCTCATTTTCTACACAAAAGAGAAGAGGTATAGACTATTCCCAAACTTCAGCTCAGATAAGCCAAAGTTTTATATTTTTCTATATATTCAATATTCCAGTATTCTGGAAATACAATATAGCAAAACCTCATTATTTCAGTGTAACTATGACAATAGAATATATCTGTTAAAAGTTCAAACTTAAAGAATATTTTCTAAATATTTCTAGAAGACAGAGGCAATATTTTATATTTCTTTTTAAATACTCACAACTTAAGCCTAGTATTAAAATTTATTCATTCATTCATTCACTCATTTTTTTCCATTCAGTGAGCACTGACTGGATGAATCAATGACTAAACAGATGTTAAAAAAAAAAAAAAGCAGTCTCAACATTTGGAAAATACGATAATTTAATCAAGTAGGAGATATATTAGTAGAGGTCTTTATGGGGCTTGATAAAGAATAGTTAATAAGTGAGACTAACCAACACAGTTGTTTATAAGTAGTACCTCTATAATGCTTTTGGATGTTTGAAAAATAGTTTTCTTTTCATAAGTTATCTTTAAAAATGATTAGTTCAGAATCTGTCCAATTGATCACATTCTAATATGTGGGTCATGAATGAAAACATTACACTTTATAAGATCCTAGAATGCTACAAGGCTATCTATTTACAATTTAGAGTAAGAAAGCAGGCATTTATTAATCCAGGCTATGTGACAAAAAATAAAA